TCTCTTCCCAAAAGCAGAGGAGATTTCAGCACAAGGAAGGGATGCCCAGGTTCCCCACATAGCCCTGAGCATGGGTAATTCAGTGAGCATGCAGTGTGTAAGCACAGCCATTGGCACGTCTGCTCAATCAGCCAGGAGCCTTGATTTAAGGAGCTCCTGTGACCCACGGATGAGGTTTACCAGTTATTTTGAGAGAAGGGTTTACTCTGGAAATAACGCCTCTACACAGTGTTTTATTTCAAAATTGCACCATAATGCAAATGAAGCGTGGGATATTTAAATCCCGGCTTCATTTACAATTTTGAATGTCTTCATTTGCATCCCTCTGTCGAAAGAGGGTGCAAGCGTAGACATATCTTCAGTGTGCAGCAGCAGTCAAAAAAAAAAAGAGAATGTTAGGAATCCTTTAAAAAGGGATAGAGAAGACAAAAAAAAAAATCCTATTGCCTCTATATGAAACCACGGCACACCCACATCTTGAATACTGCGTACAGATGTAGTCACCTCATCTCAAAAAAGATACCTTGGCATGAGAAAAGGTTCAGAAAAGGGCAGCAGAAGTGATGAGGGGCAGGGGCAGATGACTGTTTTGCGGGGCCCCGGGCAGCATAACTCCGCGGGGGCCCCCCCCTTTGCTACGGCGCATGCGCGGGGCTTTAAGCGCGGGGCCCAGGGCAGCCACCCCGTTCGCCCTTCCCTATATCCGCCCCCGATGAAGGGTTTGGAACAGGTACCATATGAAGAGAGATTAAAAAGGGAAACAAGATGACATTCTATAAATATATTAGAAGCAAGAAGACGACCAAGGACAGGGTAGGCCCATTGCTCAGTGTGGAGGGGGAAAAAGTAACAGGAAATGGCAGAGATGCTTAATGACTCTTGTTTTGGTTTTCACGAGAAGTCTGATGAAGGAATGCCTGACATAGTGAATACTAGTGGGAAGGGGGTAGGTTTAGAAGATTTTTTTTTTTAAAAGACCACACAAACCCACACCCCTCCTCCCCCAAGTTTAAAAAAATCACTTAGAAAAGTTGGATGTCTGCAAGTCACCAGGGCCTGATGAAATGCATCCTAGAATATTCAAGGAGCTGATAGAAGAGGTATCTTAGCCTTTAGCTATCATCTTTGGAAAATCATGGGAGACAGGAGAGATTCCAGAAGATTGGAGAAGGGCAAATATAGTGCATATCTATAAAAAGGGAAATAAAAACAACCCAGGAAACTACAGATCAGTCAGTTTAACTTCTGTGCCAGGGAAGAGAATGGAGCAAGTAATTAAGGAAATCATCTGCAAACACGTGGAAGATAATAAAGTGATAGGGAACAGCCAACATGGATTTGTAAAGACCAATTCATGTCAAACCAATCGGATAGCTTTCTTTTATAGAATAGCGAGTCTTGTGGATACGGGAGAAGCGGTGGATGTGGTATACTTAGATTTTATTAAGGCATTTGATACGGTCTTGCATGATATCAATATAACTAGGCAAATCCAACTTAGATGAGGGTACTATAAGGTGGGTGCATAACTGGCTGGATAACAGTTCCCAGAGAATAGTTATTAATGGTTCACAATCTTTCTGGAAAGGAGTAACAAACGGGGTTCCGCAGGGGTCTGTTTTGGGACCGGTTCTGCTCAATATCTTCATCGACGATTTAGATATTGGCAGAGAGAGTACACTTAAGTTTGCAGATGATACCAAGTTGGGAGGGGTTGCAACTGCTTTGGAGGATACGGTCATAATTTAAAATCACCTGGACAAATTGGAGAACTGGTGTGAGGTAAATAGGATGAAGTTTAATAAGGACAAATGCAAAGTGCTCCACTTAGGAAGGAACAATCAGTTTCACACATACAGAATGGGAAGTGACGATATAGGAAGGAGTACAGCAGAAAGGGATCTAAGAGTTATAGTGGACCACAAGCTAAATATGAGTCAGTGTGACACTGTTGCCAAAAAAGCAAACATGATTCTAGGATGCATTAACAGGAGTGTTGTGAGCAAGACAGGAGAAGTCATTCTTCCACTCTACTCTGCGCTGATTAGGCCTCAGTTGGAGTATTGTGTCCAGTTCTGGGGGCCACATTTCAAGAAAGATGTGGAGAAGGTTTAAAACTAATAAAAGAAAGTTCTTCTTCACACAGTGCACTGTCAACCTGTGGAACTCCTTGCCAGAGGATGTGGTAAAGGCTAGAACTTTAACAAGGTTCGAAAAAGAGCTAGACGGAGTCATGGAGTTAAGGTCCATCAACGGCTATTAGCCAGGGGATAGAAATGTTGTCCCTGGCCTCTGTTTGTCAGAGGCTGGAGAAGGATGGCAGGCGACAGATTGCTTGATCATTGTCTTCAGTCCACCCCCTCTGGAGCATCTGGCACTGGCCACAGTCAGCAGACAGGATACTGGCCTAGATGGACCTTTGGTCTGACCCGGTATGGCTATTCTTGTGTTCTAGGTTTAAAACAAAGAAAGGAAAGTTTTTCTTCTCTCAGTGCATAGTTAAGCACTGGAACTCCTTGCCAGAGGATGTGGTAAAGGCTAGAACTTTAACAAGGTTCGAAAAAGAGCTAGACGGAGTCATGGAGTTAAGGTCCATCAACGGCTATTAGCCAGGATGGGTAGGAATGGTGTCCCTAGCCTTTATTTGTCTGGAGGTGGGTGACAGGAGAGGGATCACGTGAGGATTACCTGTTGTGTTCACTCCCTCTGGGGCACCTAGAATTGGCCACTGTCGGCAGACAGGATACTGGTCTAGATGGGCCTTTGGTCTGAACCAGTATGGCCATTCTTCTGTTCTTTTGAGAGTCCACAGTGTTGGTGGGACACTGGGGAGCATGCAGAAGAGACGGGGGAGGTGTGGGAGAGCTGGCATTGGTTTCAGGGCTGAGGTAGCCTTACTGCAGAGTCCTGTCTTAGGAAAGAGCACGTGAGTTTAAATACTTAGAACTTGCAAGAGTCGAGTGGGTGGATTCAAATACAGCCACCGTGGGAACTGCCCTCTACGGGCGCTTAAGCCAGGATGATCACTGAGCTAGAGGGCCGCTATTCACGAGAACAATCTAGGTCTTCCCGGTTCTCCTTACCTCCTTGGCCCGGGGAGCAGACATTCGGATACACGGGCGCAGAGCGGGAAGGGACACACCGCCCTTGGCTGCTGTTCTCATAGTGCTGATTCAGTAACGAACGCAATTCATAGTTCTCTCGGAGCAGCCTAACCTGGTTTTTCAGGTACGTGTTTTCGTTCTGGATGGTCCTGATCCACTCGCTGTCCTCGCTCATCGTCAGCCTCCTCCTCCGGGTGGAGTCGGGGGTAGCAGGCCGCCTCAGCGGGGCCAGAGTCGCCTCTCCCACGGCTTTCAAAGTCCCCCCAGGAAGTCTTGGAATGTTCCTACCCCATTGTGAGCTCATGGCTCTTAAAGGAACGGCTGGGTTTTTAAGCCCTGAAGACTGCGTCTTGGACATAACCTTGGAGGAGGCCAGATACAGTCCTAGAGCTTAACCCTCAAATCCTGATCCAAACCCCAATGAAATCAAGGGAAGGCTTCACACGGGCCTAGTAGCAGTGTGGTTGCCAAGGACAAAACTATTTCTCAGGAGAATTTACTTTTCCTTCTAGAAAAAGTAGAAAAACCAAGGCTTGCTGCTAGTTACATGAAGATCTACATACTTTTTTGGAACTTTTTGGTATTCTTCTTGGCCAGGCCAGCAGAAGCCTGGAAGCTAGCCCGGGATACCAGAGATACTCAACTTCTCCTCCTAATGCAGAGGAGAGAAATCTCTTTGGTCAGGGGATGCTGATGCACAGAAAGGAAAGAAAAAAAAAACCCAATCGGGGGCCAAGTGAGAAGCAAAAAAAAAAAACTACACATCACCATAACAACTACGAAAACCAAGTCACTGATGTGGTCCCTGACATTCTCCTCGCACACTGGAGCCTAGCGGGACCCAGGCTAGTCGGTTGTGGGGCCCCTTACACTCTGAGGTGGGGTCAAAAGTGAGGGGTTCAGTGTGTGGGGCTGCCAGAAAGCAGGGTTGTGATGTGGGGGTCCGAGCAGGGGGAGGGTACAGGAGCCTCAGGGGCTGGATCCAGGCAAGTCAGGGGCTGGATTCAGCCTTTGGGCTGTGTATTCCCCACCTCTGTCCTATAACAACCCTGTATAGACAATACAACTCCTTATATTGACTAAGTATGCAGACCAAAGCGGCAAGAACACAGAAGGCTATGGCAGCATGGAAAATAAAATACCTTCATGTCACTGTGTTTATCGCTTGCTCCAATGTTTTGGTTGCCACGTATTTGTCTAAAGGCAAAGGGATACTACCGTGAACCCTAATGTTTCAAAGTTCACTCGTAAGCAGTAGCCTCCCCAGGAACTGAAATTGGGGGGGGGGGGTTCAAATTTACAAGGGGCAGTGTCAGGGTTGATGAGGGGTGAGACCGTGAGGGTGACAGTGGGCCGTATGGCACCATAGTTCACAAAAGTGGGGGGGTGTTAGGGAAACTTTGGGGGGGCGGTTAGGGAAATCCCTGCTCGTTAGGACTGTCCTGCAGCGCCAAGCACACTGGTATTTCCAGAGCAGGTGGGCGTTTAGGACAAGGATCCTTATTTTCACTGACTCTGGCCCTCTTCTCCCCAGGAGGCAAAGCGCACCAGGAGCTCTGGTGCGTCAACCACAGAAAGCTGCCCGGCTAGATTGAGTCAAAGCGTCTGAACTTGAAATGCAGAGAGAAATTGGGACTGTACAGAAAGAAGATAAAATCCAAGGTCCAAGCTATCCTGATTCCTCAGCAGGGAGAGTGGAAAGCAAGCTAAATGGCAGCACAGATGACAGATTTTACTCTCCTTAGTGGAATGCCATCCCTTTCCCAGAGTGCAAATCCACCTAGGAGGCAGCAATAACAAGCAATTGCCAACAGGTGGCAGACTTACACCTGTAAGCACAGTCTGTAGGATCCTACAACCAAACCCAGGGCCTGCCCCTAAAGGACACCATGCAGTAACCAAGTGCCCTCGCCAGAAACAAGCTCACTCATTGCAAGTGCAATTAGTGAATCGTTGGGGGACAGACTGGGCAAGAGAAAGTGTCACAGCTCCATGAGGAGGCTGGGGAAAGCAGAGGCTGGTTTCTTGCATCTAGGATAAGGTGCAAAATGGGGAGGGGGATCTTATACCTTGACTACTGCCTGTGACTCCAGATCCTTTGCCCCCTGCTTTCTGGTGTTGTAGAGACTGGCCTGCACGTTCTGTGAGAATTGTTTTTTGCCTGCAAAAAGCCTCATTAACCTCCTGCTCCTGCCAGCTGCGGGGAGACCAGCCCTTGCAGCTGCTGTACCTCAGAGAGGATCCATCCGTGTTTTCCTCGTGGCATTAACAGGCAGATGGTCACACAGGGATGAAGCGGCTGTGCTGGCTGTTACAAGACCCCGAACAAGGGAGCAAGCCCACCAGGGCATGCCAGCCTGCAAAGCAACCTACATGCCGTCCTAAAGGCCAGCACCCATCGGGGACAAAAGGGCACATGCATCAGACTCTCCTCTCCAGAGACAGCAGACACACAGGGATGAATTTGCACTTTCCCCAAGAGACAGGTGGGGGCCAGGCTCAAAGCCATCTATCCGGCAGGTGGGCTGTAAAGGAGAGGAGGAATGAATCTCAGAAGACCCACAAATTGTGTGTGCTAATTGTGCACCTAATCCTCATTACTCGGTCACACAGCTGCCTTCCTACACAACCATTTGACCTGCCTTTGGAAGGGGAGAGGGAAGAGACTATATAAAACAAGGAAATGTATTGAGAGAAAAAAACCTCTTGATAGTTAGAGGATGGTGGTACCAAGAGCAAACGTAGCAGACCCAAGAACAGATTTGGATTTGAGAACCTGCTGCAAGCATTCAAGAAGCTGTAGTTTGCAAAGCTTGTTCCAGCTGGGTTTGTTGCACATGCTGCCAGGTGGATTGTAAAGTAGCCAGAGGCCATGAAGACAAACAGTAGCGCCTGCATTTAGGAGATGCGGTCTAATGGGACAGCTTAACACAGTGTTA